GGATCAGTTTAACGTCCCCCAATCCTAACCTGAACCATTAGTGGGGAAAGTGCAAAACTAACCCAAGGTCAGCCTCTAGGGGAACTTCACCCTACTCCGAGGGGTGAGGTTTGAGACTAATGGTGTCCGAAAATCTGCAGTCTCGTGCGTCATCTGATCTCTGAAGTCCTCTCTGGCTTGATTTAAAAGCCTGGCTAGCACAGTGACTTATGGATCTAGTGCCCCCCCCCCCCCTCTCCTCCTTCCCTCTTTCCCTTGCTCTTAAATTGCCGGCGTTAAGATGCTGATGGGAAAAGAACAGGTGAGGAGATTCATTTCCTTAGATCTAATCAGAGACCAGTAAATTGACCTGGTATAGACCAGGGCCTCTGGGTGAATAAGAGAGGGAGGGTACATCCCAAATGGCCTCCTATTCCCTACATCCCAAATGGCCTCCTATTCCCTATAAAGTGCACAACTTTTGACCATGGCTGTGGTCAAAATTAGTGTACATTATAGTGGATAGGGTGCCATCTGGGACACACCCAGGGAGGTAGTCACTTTTAAACTTTTTCTTGTTATATTCCCTAACTACGTTCTACCGCAGGGATCATCAACTAGATTCCCTAACTACGTTCTACCGCAGGGATCATCAACTAGATTCCCTAACTACGTTCTACCGCAGGGATCATCAACTAGATTCCCTAACTACGTTCTACCGCAGGGATCATCAACTAGATTCCCTAACTACGTTCTACCGCAGGGATCATCAACTAGATTCCCTAACTACGTTCTACCGCAGGGATCATCAACTAGATTCCCTAACTACGTTCTACCGCAGGGATCATCAACTAGATTCCCTAACTACGTTCTACCGCAGGGATCATCAACTAGATTCAGTCGCGGGCCGACTTTTTCTTGAGCGGATGGTTGGGGGGCCGGAGCATAATTACAAATAATTTGTAGACGGCAAATTGACCGCGAGAAACCCAAACAGATATAATGTTTGACTAAAACATAATAATTTCAAACCTTGCTTACATTTGTATACAATCACATGTTTCTCTTTATTATGCGTGGGAATACTGGGGAACATATTTCTTTAAATTACAATTCTAGCTGATTTCCTGGTGTTTTTAGTCTGTCCAGTTTTTGCCAAATAAAACCACGGGCCACCAGTTGGGGAACCCTGTTCTATTAGCTCTCCTCATCAAAGTGAAGAGGCACCCCCCTATCCTTCCCTAACAGAGACCAGAGAGGGGGACAAAGAGATGTCTTGTGCCTGGGGTCCGGTCCCCCCTCAATCAGATAGCTCTCTTTAAGATTCCGGCCAATGATTACACTCTCTCAATCTCTACAGACAGTTCTATGCTAAAGTTCTCTCTGTATATTCTACAGTTATTCGTCAGGTGCTTTTCCAATGGGTTTAACTATACCCCCCTCTAGTACTTATGCCTCATGTCAGAGGGTTACAGCTCTGGGCTGGAGAGGAAGGAGTCAAGTCATCTGTGTCCGTCGGTTCGGGTTTGTATTTTTCTCATGTCAAGGAGGCACCACATCAGAGAGGAAGGGATGTGCTTCTCTCTCACACACACACACACACACACACACACACATACACACACACACTCCCTCCTAGGGATGTGAACAGGGGAACAGGTTCTTCTTTTATGAGCGAGCTGCTTGGTATTCTGGACATGCTCCGGCCTTAAGAGGCCCCGTGATTCATTGCAGGAGGTGCGACGCAGCCCCTAGCAGAGATCCATCCACCGCAGAAGCTAGGACTAATAATAGGGCCGGCCCTGCCATATGTCTTCATCCCCTGATACTCTCCTTCTCTCTCCCTCTAATGCCACCTAACACTCACCAGCCAGTAAAAGTGGTTTTTAGAGTGATCCAACATTTCCCTTTTCAGCCTCAGAATAAAAACTTCAATAGAGAGAGTGGAGGAGAAGGTCAGCCTCTCTTGGCGGGGTGAAGGTGTAATCTCACAAAACACTCTCTTGTTTTATTATGAAATAGCTGGTAAAATAACAGCGCCCCAGGTTGGTGTTTACACGCTGTACGTGAGTGTGTGTGAGTGATCACTTACACTGTGTGTGTGTGTGTGTGTGTGTGTGTGTGTGTGTGTGTGTGTGTGTGTGTGTGTGTGTGTGTGTGTTTGGCCTGCCCTTCATTTATTCTCAACATGTATTGATTGGCCACTGCGCTGAGCAGGGTATTGGAGAGAGATTGCCCTCGCCTCTCATTTTTTATTGAACATCCTGTATTGTGCCTCCCAGGCGCCTCACCCCACCTCTCTGCCCTGGCAACACCCCAGCAACACTCTGAATGGGATGTGCCACTGAGCACCCTGAGTCTTCTCTCTCTTTCCTCTCTCTCTCTCTCTCTCTTTATTTTAAGCTAGAGGTATTAGTCTGTTGATGTGTTGCAACAGTCCTTATTGAAATGACAGCTGAATTGCTGTTTTTAAAAGCTATTGCCTCAACGTCCTTTTCTTTCTTTCTTAATATTTGTTTATTTATTTTCTCTGCTCATTTTCTCTGTGAATGCGGGAGCTTTCCTCTGTCCTCAGTGCTGTCACAGGGGGGCACTGTTAGGCTGTGTGTGTGCGTGTGAGAGAGAGAAGAGAGAGAGAGAGAGAAGAGAGAGAGAGAGAGAGAGAGAGACTTTCTCTCCACACAAAATGCTTGCTGGCTGCAGATTCACACATAAGCCCCGTGCAGCAAAATTCCACCATTTAAAGAATGACGTGTAGCCGGAGGGGTACAGCTGTGTGTGTGTGTTATAGCTCCCTATACATCTCTACTGCGTATATCCATGTGTCATGGAGTGTGGGTGGTAGGTGCGTTCACGTGCTACAGATTCACAGACATTAAAGTGGCTTGACACCTCTGTAATATGTGATTGAAACGCTCTGTTTTAAGTCCGCGTCCCAGATGGCACCCTATTCCCTACATAGTGCACCCCTATGGGCCTGGTCAAAAGTAGTACACTATGTACAGTACCAGTCAAAAGTTTGGACACACCTACTCATTCAAGGGTTTTTCTTTATTTGTACTATTTTCTACATTGTAGAATAATAGTGAAGACATCAAATCTATGAAATAACACATATGGAATCATGTTGTAACCAAAAAAGTGTTAAACAAATCAAAATATGTTTTATATTTTAAATTCTTCAAAGTAGCCACCCTTTGCCCTGATGACAGCTTTGGATACTCATGGCATTCTCGCAACCAGCTTAATGAGGAATGTTTTTCCAACAGTCTTGAAGGAGTTCCCACATATGCTTAGCACTTGTTGGCTGCTTTTCCTTCACTCTGCGGTCCAACACATCCCAAACCATCTCAATTGGGATGAGGTCGGGATGCAGCACTCCATCACTCTCCTTCTTGGTCAAATAGCCCTTACACAGCCTGGAGGTGTGTTTTGGGTCATTGTCCTGTTGAAAAATAAATGATAGTCCCACTAAGCGCAAACCAGATGGGATGGCGTATCGCTGCAGAATGCTGTGGTAGGCATGCTGGTTAAGTGTGCCTTGAATTCTAAATAAATCACAGACAGTGTCACCAGCAAAGCACCATCACACCTCCTCCTCCATGCTTCACTGTGGGAACCACACATGCGGAGATCATCCGTTCACCTACTCTGTGTCTCACAAAGACACAGCGGTTTGAACCAAAGATCTATAATTTGGACTCATCAGGACAGATTTCCACCGGTCTAATGTCCATTGCTCATGTTTCTTGGCCCAAGCAGGTCTCTTCTTCTTATTGGTGTCCTTTAGTAGTGGTTTCTTTGCAGCAATTCAACCATGAAGGCCTGATTCACACAGTTGATGTTGAGAAGTGTCTGTTACTTGAACTCTGTGAAGCATTTATTTGGGCTGCAATTTCTGAGGCTGGTAACTCTAATGAACTTATCCTCTGCAGCAGAGGTAACGCTGGGTTTTCCTTTACTGTGGCGGTCCTCATGAGAGCCAGTTTCATCATAGCTCTTGATGGTTTTTGTGACTGCACTTGAAGAAACGTTCAAAGTTCTTGAAATGTTCCGTATTGACTGACCTTCATGTCTTAAAGTAATGATGGACTGTCTTTTCTCTTTGCTTATTTGAGCTGTTTTTGCCATAATATGGACTCGGTCTTTTACCAAATAGGGCTATCTTCTGTATATTCCACAAATTAACTTTTAAGAAAGCACACCTGTTAACTGAAATGCATTCCAGGTGACTACCTCATGATGCTGGTTGAGAGAATGCCAAGAGTGTGCAAAGCTGTCATCAAGGAAAAGGGTGGCTACTTTGAAGAATCTAAAATCTAAAATATATTTTGATTTGTTTAACACTTTTTTGGTTGCTACATGATTCCATATGTATTATTTCATAGTTTTGATGTCTTCACTATTATTCAAAAATTTTGAAAATAGTACAAATAAAGAAAAACCCTGGAATGAGTAGGTGTGTCCAAACTTTTGACTGGTACTGTATAACGATGTGTCATTCGGGACACAGTCTTACTCTATTCTTTGTATTCAGTCTGCAGTTGCTACATCCATTTTTGGACACGTGAATTAATGATATGTATCCATTGATTCTTGAAGAATATAACTTATAAATGCCTCATGAGCTTAGTTCAACTGTCGTACCTCATCAGAACCCAGAATATATGCATGTTTTACTCCAATGTTTGTAACAAAGCACATGTAAACAAACACTATATAGCATCACAACATGGTTAAAACTATACATTTGACATCATGAATGGTCAGTCCTTGGATCCATAGCTCTGTCCATGAATTTGAGAGTGGTTATATTTCTCCAGCCCCATCCCTCAGCGTTTTACGGAAGCGGGACGCTTTGTTATTGTTTCAACTGCTGATTGCCGCTTTAACTGGTGTATGGTATGTCAGTGCAGTAATATGTTATTGAAACGGCTGTGTTTATACATTCTCTACAGGCATATGGTATGTCAGTGCTGTAATATGTTATTGAAACGACTGTTTTTATTCATTCTCTACAGGCATATGGCATGTCAGTGCTGCCGTTGAACCTGATTAAAGGGACACGTAGTGTGGTGTACGAGCGCCTGGAGAACACTGAAGATATTGAGGAGGTTGAACACCAGATGGAAAAGATCAAAGCCAAGGTGGGTCTCAGTTATCACCCTAAAGCTGAAAAAAAGACTTGTTGTTTTTATTATATTTTTTATAACATTGGGATGGAATTGGTTATGACCTCTGGCTGTAAGGAATGTTGATGACTTAAAGCCGGTCTGCCATTGGTCCCTGGTGTAGGTGATGCCATAGAGCTGATATGAGCTGGTGGCTTGCAGCCAGACCTGTGTTCAAATACTATTGGAAATCATTTCAAATGCTCTATTTAAACTTGATTGAGCTTTACTGAGCTTGCATAAGTTGCATACCCTGTAAAGAATAAAATATGACAAAAGGTGTTAAAAAACAGAAAGGGGCGTCTCCTCACTCCCCTGTCAAACCTCTTCCCTCCAGAGCCAGAGTCAGGATGTTGAAACAGCAGAACACCTGCAGTCCTCTCATACCTTCAGACTGTTGAAACAGCAGAACACCTGCAGTCCTCTCATACCTTCAGACTGTTGAAACTGTAGAACACCTGCAGTCCTCTCATACCTTCAGGCTGTTGAAACAGCAGAACACCTGCAGTCCTCTCATACCTTCAGACTGTTGAAACTGTAGAACACCTGCAGTCCTCTCATACCTTCAGACTGTTGAAACAGCAGAACACCTGCAGTCCTCTCATACCTTCAGACTGTTGAAACAGCAGAACACCTGCAGTCCTCTCATACCTTCAGACTGTTGAAACAGCAGAACACCTGCAGTCCTCTCATACCTTCAGACTGTTGAAACTGTAGAACACCTGCAGTCCTCTCATACCTTCAGACTGTTGAAACAGCAGAACACCTGCAGTCCTCTCATACCTTCAGGCTGTTGAAACAGCAGAACACCTGCAGTCCTCTCATACCTTCAGGCTGTTGAAACAGCAGAACACCTGCAGTCCTCTCATACCTTCAGACTGTTGAAACAGCAGAACACCTGCAGTCCTCTCATACCTTCAGGCTGTTGAAACAGCAGAACACCTGCAGTCCTCTCATACATTCAGACTGTTGAAACAGCAGAACACCTGCAGTCCTCTCATATCTTCAGGCTGTTGAAACAGCAGAACACCTGCAGTCCTCTCATATCTTCAGACTGATTAAACAGCAGAACACCTGCAGTCCTCTCATACCTTCAGGCTGTTGAAACAGCAGAACACCTGCAGTCCTCTCATACCTTCAGACTGTTGAAACAGCAGAACACCTGCAGTCCTCTCATATCTTCAGACTGATTAAACAGCAGAACACCTGCAGTCCTCTCATACCTTCAGACTGTTGAAACAGCAGAACACCTGCAGTCCTCTCATACCTTCAGACTGTTGAAACAGCAGAACACCTGCAGTCCTCTCATACCTTCAGACTGTTGAAACAGCAGAACACCTGCAGTCCTCTCATACCTTCAGACTGTTGAAACAGCAGAACACCTGCAGTCCTCTCATACCTTCAGACTGTTGAAACAGCAGAACACCTGCTGTCCTCTCATACCTTCAGACTGTTGAAACAGCTGAACACCTGCAGTCCTCTCATATCTTCAGACTGATTAAACAGCAGAACACCTGCAGTCCTCTCATACCTTCAGGCTGTTGAAACAGCAGAACACCTGCAGTCCTCTCATACCTTCAGACTGTTGAAACAGCAGAAACACCTGCAGTCCTCTCATATCTTCAGACTGATTAAACAGCAGAACACCTGCAGTCCTCTCATACCTTCAGACTGTTGAAACAGCAGAACACCTGCAGTCCTCTCATACCTTCAGACTGTTGAAACAGCAAGAACACCTGCAGTCCTCTCATACCTTCAGACTGTTGAAACAGCAGAACACCTGCAGTCCTCTCATACCTTCAGACTGTTGAAACAGCAGAACACCTGCAGTCCTCTCATACCTTCAGACTGTTGAAACAGCAGAACACCTGCAGTCCTCTCATACCTTCAGACTGTTGAAACAGCAGAACACCTGCAGTCCTCTCATACCTTCAGACTGTTGAAACAGCAGAACACCTGCAGTCCTCTCATACCTTCAGACTGTTGAAACAGCAGAACACCTGCAGTCCTCTCATACCTTCAGACTGTTGAAACAGCAGAACACCTGCAGTCCTCTCATACCTTCAGACTGTTGAAACAGCAGAACACCTGCAGTCCTCTCATACCTTCAGACTGTTGAAACAGCAGAACACCTGCAGTCCTCTCATACCTTCAGACTGTTGAAACAGCAGAACACCTGCAGTCCTCTCATACCTTCAGACTGTTGAAACAGCAGAACACCTGCAGTCCTCTCATACCTTCAGACTGTTGAAACAGCAGAACACCTGCAGTCCTCTCATACCTTCAGACTGTTGAAACAGCAGAACACCTGCAGTCCTCTCATACCTTCAGACTGTTGAAACATGTAGAACACCTGCAGTCCTCTCATACCTTCAGGCTGTTGAAACAGCAGAACACCTGCAGTCCTCTCATACCTTCAGACTGTTGAAACAGCAGAACACCTGCAGTCCTCTCATACCTTCAGACTGTTGAAACAGCAGAACACCTGCAGTCCTCTCATACCTTCAGACTGTTGAAACAGCAGAACACCTGCAGTCCTCTCATACCTTCAGACTGTTGAAACAGCAGAACACCTGCAGTCCTCTCATACCTTCAGACTGTTGAAACAGCAGAACACCTGCAGTCCTCTCATACCTTCAGGCTGTTGAAACTGTAGAACACCTGCAGTCCTCTCATACCTTCAGGCTGTTGAAACTGTAACACACCTGCAGTCCTCTCATACCTTCAGACTGTTGAAACAGCAGAACACCTGCAGTCCTCTCATACCTTCAGACTGTTGAAACAGCAGAACACCTGCAGTCCTCTCATACCTTCAGACTGTTGAAACAGCAGAACACCTGCAGTCCTCTCATACCTTCAGGCTGTTGAAACTGTAGAACACCTGCAGTCCTCTCATACCTTCAGGCTGTTGAAACTGTAACACACCTGCAGTCCTCTCATACCTTCAGACTGTTGAAACAGCAGAACACCTGCAGTCCTCTCATATCTTCAGACTGTTGAAACTGTAGAACACCTGCAGTCCTCTCATACCTTCAGACTGTTGAAACAGCAGAACACCTGCAGTCCTCTCATACCTTCAGACTGTTGAAACAGCAGAACACCTGCAGTCCTCTCATACCTTCAGACTGTTGAAACTGTAGAACACCTGCAGTCCTCTCATACCTTCAGACTGTTGAAACAGCAGAACACCTGCAGTCCTCTCATACCTTCAGACTGTTGAAACAGCAGAACACCTGCAGTCCTCTCATACCTTCAGACTGTTGAAACAGCAGAACACCTGCAGTCCTCTCATACCTTCAGACTGTTGAAACAGCAGAACACCTGCAGTCCTCTCATATCTTCAGACTGTTGAAACAGCAGAACACCTGCAGTCCTCTCATACCTTCAGACTGTTGAAACAGCAGAACACCTGCAGTCCTCTCATACCTTCAGACTGTTGAAACAGCAGAACACCTGCAGTCCTCTCATACCTTCAGACTGTTGAAACAGCAGAACACCTGCAGTCCTCTCATACCTTCAGACTGTTGAAACAGCAGAACACCTGCAGTCCTCTCATACCTTCAGGCTGTTGAAACAGCAGAACACCTGCAGTCCTCTCATACCTTCAGACTGTTGAAACAGCAGAACACCTGCAGTCCTCTCATACCTTACAATTACATTTACATTTTAGTCATTTAGCAGACGCTCTTATCCAGAGCGACTTACAGTTAGTGCATACATTTCTTCTTCTTTTCATTGAAACTGTTGAACACCTGCAGTCCTCTCATACCTCCTCTTTGTTTGTTTGTGTTTGTCTCCAGTGTGTGGACGGGCGTCCTCTGTCGTCGCGGGACCGTCGTAACCTCCAGGAGTTTGAGGACAAGCTACAGGTGACTCGTTGTTCAGATTCAGAGTGTTTATTAGTCACATTTACAGTGCCTTGCGAAAGTATTCATCCCCCTTGGCATTTTTCCTATTTTGTTGCCTTACAACCTGGAATTAAAATGGATTTTTGGGGGGTTTGTATCATTTGATTTACACAACATGCCTACCACTGAAGATGCAAAATTCTGTTTCTTTTGAAACAAACAAGTAATTTGAATGTGCATAACTATTCAACCCCACCCCCCCGTGTTTGCTTATTTTTTTCTTTAAGCAATGGCTTTTTTCTGGCCACTCTTCCGTAAAGCCCAGCTCTGTGGAGTGTATGGCTTAAAGTGGTCCTATGGACAGATACTCCAATCTACGCTGTGGAGCTTTGCAGCTCCTTCAGGGCTATCTTTGGTCTCTTTGTTGCCTCTCTGATTAATGCCCTCCTTGCATTTTACATTTACATTTTAGTCATTTAGCAGACGCTCTTATCCAGAGCGACTTACAGTTAGTGAGTGCATACATTATTTTTTAAAATATTTTTTCATACTGGCCCCCCGTGGGAATCGAACCCACAACCCTGGCGTTGCAAACGCCATGCTCTACCAACTGAGCTACATCCCTGCCGGCCATTCCCTCCCCTACCCTGGACGACGCTGTGCCAATTGTGCGCCACCCCATGGGTCTCCCGGTCACGGCCTGGGCTGTGAGTTTTGGTGGGCGGCCCTCTCTTGGCAGGTTTGTTGTGGTGCCATATTCTTTCCATTTTTTATAATGGATTTAATGGTGCTCTGTGGGATGTTCAAGTTCTGATATTTTTTTATAACCCAGCCCTGATCTGTACTTCTCCACAACTTTGTCCCTGACCTGTTTGGAGAGCTCATTGGTCTGCATGGTGCCACTTGCTTGGTGTTGCCCCTTGCTTAGTGGTGTTGCAGACTCTGGGGCCTTTCAGAACAGGTGTATATATACTGAGATCATGTGACAGATCATGTGACACTTAGATTGCACACAGGTGGACTTTATTTAATTAATTATGTGACTTCTGAAGGTAATTGGTTGCACCAGATCTTATTTAGGGGCTTCATAGCAAAGGGGGTGAATACATACAGTTGAAGTCGGAAGTTTACAAACACTTAGGTTGGAGTCATTAAATCTTGTTTTTCAACCACTCCACAAATTTCTTTTTAACAAACTATAGTGTTGGCAAGTCGGTTAGGACATCTACTCTGTGCATGACACAAGTAATTTTTCCAACAATTGTTTACAGACAGATTATTTCACTTATAATTCACTGCATCACAATTCCAGTGGGTCAGAAGTTTACATACACTAAGTTGACTGTGCCTTTTAAACAGCCTGACCGTTGAGGGGGTGAAATAAAAACAAAAAAATGTCAAATAAAATCTATAATATACATATTAACAACTGCAACAGTGATGAATGTCATTGGGGTGGGGGCAGAGTAAAAGTCTGTTGGGGGTGGTGGTGGGGGGGGAATGTCCCTAGGGGGATAGCAGGGAATTGGCCGTTGAGGGGGTGTGGGGGGGGGGAATGTCCCTAGGGGGGATAGCAGGGAAGTGACCGTTGAGGGGGTGTGGGGGGGAATGTCCCTAGGGGGGATAGCAGGGAAGTGACCGTTGAGGGGGTGTGGGGGGGAATGTCCCTAGGGGGGATAGCAGGGAAGTGACCGTTGAGGGGGTGTGGGGGGGGAATGTCCCTAGGGGGATAGCAGGGAAGTGACCGTTGAGGGGGGTGTGGGGGGGGGGAATGTCCCTAGGGGGGATAGCAGGGAAGTGACCGTTGAGGGGGTGTGGGGGGAATGTCCCTAGGGGGGATAGCAGGTAAGTGACCGTTGAGGGGGTGTGGGTGGAATGTCCCTAGGGGGATAGCAGGGAAGTGACCGTTGAGGGGGTGTGAGGAGAAAAGGGCAGTGTGCAGTACAATGGCGATTGCATCGTCCGTGAATCTGTCAGGGCGGAAGGCGAATTGGAGAGGGTCGAGTGTGTCGGGGAGGGAAGAGGTGATATGCTCCTTGACTTTATGATGACGGAAGTGAGTGCTACTGGTCGGTAGTCATTCAGTTGAGTTACCTTTCCTTTCTTGGGCACCAGGATGATAGTGGACATCTTGAAGCAGGTGAGTATAGCGGCCTGAGCTAGGGAGAGATTGAAAATGTCAGAGAACACAACAGCCAGCTGGTCTGCACATGCTCTGAGGGCACGGCTAGGGATGCCATCAAATGACTTACATACGTCCTGTGTAGCCCACGTTGTCATCGGGGGCTCTCCTCGGCAGCTCAGGGTCATTGTTCTCAAATCGTGAGAAAACTGTGTTTAGCTCCTCCGGTAGGGTGGCGTTGGTGACCGCGATGTGGCTGGCTTTCTTTTTGTATACCGTGATGGTTAGGAGCCCGTCACATATGCCTTGTGTCCGACCCGCTGAATTGTTCCTCTACTTTGTCTCTATACTTGGGTTTCGCCTTCTTGATCCAAATGCGTAGGTCGTATTTGTACTGTTTAACCAAACTATTGTCCCCGGTCACCTTGCCCTGTTTAGAAGCAGCACGGTCACCTTGCCCTGTTTAGAAGCAGCACGGTCACCTTGCCCTGTTTAGAAGCAGCACGGTCACCTTGCCCTGTTTAGAAGCAGCACGGTCACCTTGCCCTGTTTAGAAGCAGCACGGTCACCTTGACCTGTTTAGAAGCAGCACGGTCACCTTGCCCTGTTTAGAAGCAGCACGGTCACCTTGCCCTGTTTAGAAGCAGCACGGTCACCTTGCCCTGTTTAGAAGCAGCATCTCTCTCAGTTTTCATTTGTTTATATGACAATAAAAAATTATAAACATAAATCCAAGACAAGCTGCGTAGGTGATAACATTGAGGATGGAATAAAGAGGCTTACTAACCACCTCTTTATGGAACAACAGAACCTTCAGTCTTGTTTTCATCGTGGTCCTTTAGGTGCTCCAGAGGCGGGGCAGACATCTGGAGATAGCAGAGAGTCACTGCTGCACCAAGGTTGGATCTGCTCTCAGACCACTCAAGGTGAGACACACACACACACACACACACACACACACACACACACACACACACACACACACACACACACACACACACTCAGGTCCCCATCTAACCAGAAGCCGGTCTGTCATTTTAATTTCCGTTAACTTTTCACTTTGAGAACTTAAATGGATTTGACAGTTTCAACCGATTCCAATACGGTGTGACGTTGGAGATGAAAGAGATATTGAAGAATCACTGTCATCTCTCTTTACCTGCTGGAAAGGCACTCGTACACACACAGCAGTCCCAGCTGACGGTTCATCATGTCATCTGTTCCATACAGTAACTAGGAAGGGACACACTGATTATGAGTTAACACATCATCTAGTGTACATCCCAAATGGTGCCCTGTTCCCTATATGTGTGCTTCTACAGAAGTGGTGCAGATTGCAGTACCACCCCTAAAAAAACTATTAAAAAAAAAAAAACATTTAAGTCTCCACACTTAGGACATGTATTTACATCCGTATATGGTCTAATTCAATCCGAGGCAATAACAAAGATACAGTTACATGAATATAATACAACTGCATTGTTTATACACCGATTTCTATAGAGAGGTGGCTGTCCCAAACCCTGACTCCTCAACTTCATGTTGGAAATATAAGAAGCTAATGATTTGAGAATTTTTTTTGGACCCTATTATTTCAATAGAACATCTTGAGTTGTTCTATTATTAGGTTTAACAATGCTGATCTAATTATTCGCTTTGTTTCGTTTTTAAACATATTTTTCAAAACAATGCTGTCCCACCTTTTGATGTCATTACTGAAAGACACACACTAAACGACTGTAGAAGGAATGTGCCTTAACCCACACCCCTACAGATAACACCGGGTAATGGGATTGCACCCCTCTCCACTATGGGCATAGTGAGTAGTCTGTCTGCAAACATTTTGGAGAAAATGAGTGAGCAAGTTGGTAAATCTTTATGTATTTTTAAGAAGTGTCACTATTGAACATCTATTTCAAGAAATATGGGACTAAAATACATCTTTGCTGGGATGTACATCTGTCCAAATGAAAGAAAGCCATCCATATGCTATCTATGGGGATTCATTAAGCTCTAATGAAATGTTAAAGCAGCCGGCTAGCTTCTGTAACAGTGTATCTTTAACCGAGGGGGTCCAGTCCTAATGACACTCCCAAGACTCACATCTACACAGTAATGAGATGGGAGATATATCTACTGTATGCTCAGGCACCAGCGAGGAATGATGAGCAAAGCAACAGGGAGTGGGGCGCTCCAGAGCAGAGCTACCTACCAGTCTTCTGGTGGTTCTCTGTTTCTGCTGCTGTCATGTGTTAGTGTCTGATGGGCTGTGTGTTGATCACCAGACATGTTAGATCAAATGACACCAGACATGTTAGATCATATGACACCAGACATGTTAGATCATATGACACCAGACATGGTAGATAATATGACACCAGACATGTTAGATAATATGACACCAGACATGTTAGATAATATGACACCAGACATGTTAGATCATATGACACCAGACATGTTAGATAATATGACACCAGACATGTTAGATAATATGACACCAGACATGTTAGATAATATGACACCAGACATGTTAGATCATATGACACCAGACATGTTAGATCATATGACACCAGACATGTTAGATAATATGACACCAGACATGTTAGATCATATGACACCAGACATGTTAGATCATATGACACCAGACATGGTAGATAATATGACACCAGACATGTTAGATAATATGACACCAGACATGTTAGATCATATGACACCAGACATGGTAGATAATATGACACCAGACATGTTAGATAATATGACACCAGACATGTTAGATAATATGACACCAGACATGTTAGATCATATGACACCAGACATGTTAGATAATATGACACCAGACATGTTAGATAATATGACACCAGACATGTTAGATCATATGACACCAGACATGTTAGATAATATGACACCAGACATGGTAGATCATATGACACCAGACATGGTAGATCACTTCAATGCCTGATCTAACTGTAGCTCAGTTGATAGAGCATGGCGCTTGCAACGCCAGGGTTGTGGGTTCGTTTCCCACGGGGGGCCAGTATAAAAAATGTATGCACTCACTAACTGTAAGTCGCTCTGGTTAAGAGCGTCTGCTAAATGACTAAAATGTAAATGTAAATGGTGAAATCTGACTGGAATGGGATCAAGGACCTTTTCTTGCAACCTGTATGTCTGTTTTACTGTCTGTCTCTCTCTGACTGCTACTTCTTGCTCTTTGGGAGCACCAAGCGCCAGGCAGCGATCCCTCGAGAGCATTGCTACCTACCGGTGTTTCTCTGTTTCGCTCACACACCAGGGCTCTACAGTGCGACCATTTTACTTCCATATGTGCTCCTAAATATATTTGTGTGCGCTTACATTTTTCAACTTAGGTGCACATGTGCTCCTTGTTAAAAAGGTCAGTGTAGAGCCCTGCACACGCTTCTGCTGTGGTGGCTCTAATGCGTTAGTGTCTGTCTGTGTGTCGATCACAGCGGTACTTTCCTGCAACCTTTCTGTCCGTCGGTTGGTCTGTCAGTCTGCTGTTGCTTGCTCCTTGTGGGTTCTAGGCCATTATAAAGCATTACGTAACTAGTATTGGTGTTAAAATGGCTTTATAAATACTTTTGATTGACAGACAGGCGTGTTTGTGAGTGACCCTAGTGAACTCAATATGATGATTTAATCTTGATTGATGTTATTGTATTACATTTTGAATGTATTTACTGTCATCTGCTTCCCTAATGAGCCTCGAGAGACTTTGATGAGGCCTAATTGACTAATTGGTTACTAATGACTAAATTAGCTTAGCTGATAACCATGTAACTGCACCTCAGACAGTAACATTTACCTTCACACCCACACGTCTGGCCAACATACATGTCTGTATGATGTTGGTGGGTGATCCCTTGTCCCTCCCATCTTGGTGTATCAGAATGTCCCATTATGAGATGAGAACAATAAAGACAGACAGCTAAATGGACCAGTCTGTCTGTCTGTCTGTCTGTCTGTTTGGCTGGCTGGCTGTCTGTCTGTCTGGCTGGGTGTCTGTCTGTCTTGCTGTCTGTCTGTCTGGCTGGCTGGCTGGCTGGCTGGGTGTCTGTCTGTCTGTCTTGCTGTCTGTCTGTCTGGCTGGCTGGCTGAATGTAGAGGTGAATGGAGAGCAGTAACCACTGCTCCATGCTCCTGTCTGTCTGTCTGTCTGTCTGTCTGTCTGTCTGTCTGTCTGTCTGTCGGTAGAGGTGAATGGAGAGCAGTAACCACTGCTCCATGCTCCTGTCTGTCTGTCTGTCTGTCTGTCTGTCTTGCTGTCTGTCTGGCTGGCTGTCTGTAGAGGTGAATGGAGAGCAGTAACCACTGCTCCATGCTCCTGTCTGTCTGTCTGTCTGTCTGTCTGTCTGTCTGTCTGTCTGTCTGGCTGTCTGTCTGGCTGGCTGTCTGTAGAGGTGAATGGAGAGCAGTAACCACTGCTCCAGGCAGTCTGCTGTATCTGTCTGTGTGGGGCTGTTGCAGTGATCATTAACGTTTAATAGATAGCCCAAGTCCATGCTCAAATATATAGCCTCAATCCAGCCTCAGTCTAAATACCGGAGATGTCTCTGTTCCTTGGCACAGAATTCAGCTTTTATGCCTACACTATTCAGTAACACAAGCTCGCTATTTGGCAGGAACCAAAATAACAATCACTGTTTGTTACAAATGTATAAACTTACACTATAAACTAAAAACGATAAACTATCTTTACATACATTTTCTTTATAAACCTACTTAAAGAATCTCATTCTTTGGCCTACCTTCCTGTAACTAACATTGTGTTGCCTGGCAGCTAACATTCCCTGGAGATGCCAATAGAACACTATGTAAAGATGAACACAATGACAGCCTATAACTGTGTTTCAGAGGCTGCTGTGAGAATAGATGGTGGACACTATAATACAGCTCAGCTTGTAGAATTAGTGTTGCTCCACTGTGTCGGACCAAAGGCCTTGTGGTGAGGTTTAGTCTGCTCCACTGTGCCGGACCAAAGGCCTTGTGGTGGGGTTTAGTCTGCTCCTCTGTGCCGGGCCAAAGGCCTTGTGGTGAGGTTTAGTCTGCTCCTCTGTGCCGGGCCAAAGGCCTTGTGGTGGGGTTTAGTCTGCTCCTCTGTGCCGGGCCAAAGGCCTTGTGGTGGGGTTTAGTCTGCTCCTCTGTGCCGGGCCAAAGGCCTTGTGGTGGGGTTTAGTCTGCTCCTCTGTGCCGGGCCAAAGGCCTTGTGGTGAGGTTTAGTCTGCTCCTCTGTGCCGGGCCAAAGGCCCTGTGGTGGGGTTTAGTCTGCTCCTCTGTGCCGGGCCAAAGGCCTTGTGGTGAGGTTTAGTCTGCTCCTCTGTGCCGGGCCAAAGGCCTTGTGGTGGGGTTTAGTCTGCTCCTCTGTGCCGGGCCAAAGGCCCTGTGGTGGGGTTTAGTCTGCTCCTCTGTGCCGGGCCAAAGGCCTTGTGGTGGGGTTTAGGGACTGTTTGAAGATGAATACACGGCACCTGAGATACTCCTAATGAAAACACACTGTACTGCAGCACAACCCTGCCACACACACACTGTATGGTATAACAACATTGCCATCATACTGTAGCCTCCCGGTACCAGCCTCCCCTGGCTGATACAGACAAAGCCCTGATCCCAGTGCAGAGCAGACCTGGCTTCAAATACTATTTAAAATAATTTAAAATACTTTATCTGTGCTTGATTGAGCTTGTCTGGCACAATGGAACCATTTCAATAGTCCCAAAGTGGCGATCCCCACCCATCTGGCAATCCAGACAGACTAAAGACTAAATGATTTGAACACAGGACTGGTGCAGACTAACCCTCTGACCGATCCATCTCTACACATACTGTCTGGTCATTATCACAGAGGGGAATGGAGGCACATCTCTCTCTCTCTCTCTCTCTCTCTCTCTCTCTCTCTCAAATAAT